TTTGTCGAGGCAATTTTCCTGTAGCTAGCGCTTCGTTTGGCTTGTGTGTTGCGGGTTCATGGGTTTTTGCTCTTTGCTCTTTGTGTGTGTTTTTGTCGATGATTTCTGTGTTTCTTTCTTTATTTTTTTTCTTCTTTTGGTCTTAATCATTTTTTTTTCTTTTTTTTGGTCTCTGTTCTGTCTGTTTGTTTGTCTGTCTTTCTCCACGCCTTCACATATACATATATGACAAAATAAAAAAGTATATAACAAGATAAAACAACAAACAAACAGACAAAGCGTAACACAACACATAAACAAACAAATACTGAATCCATTACAACAACAGTGGCAGCAACAACAACAAAAATATCAACAACAGAATGAAAAAAAAACATATACTGCACACAAAAAACTTACCATGCACCCAAGACTGTATGTCGTTATAGGTTTGGAGTTTTGTAATATCAAAGACGAGAAGGGCCGCGTGTGCACCGCGATAATACATAGGCGCCATCGACCGAAATCTCTCCTGACCTGCTGTGTCCCAGACCTGGAAATATGTTGTATGATTTCTCTTCTTTGTATATAATTGTCATTTGAGGGTATGAGCGTCAATTAATTATTAAATATTTGGTTTATTTAAGCTTTCATCTCCAACATGAATATCGGTATCTTCACTTTAAGGCACTGCAGTCATGAGACTGCATTAACGTGACCATGTCGATACTCATGTTATAAAGGTTTGAATTGAAAAAGTAAACGTATTGTCGGACAATTGGACGCACATACCTTTATTTGTTGTGTTATTGTGTGTGGTGATATAATTGGTTTTGGTGATGGTGCTGAATAAACATTATATTATACGACGGGTAAGAGTAATGGTAGGCTAAAAGCATTGAAACCTATTCATTACTCAGTCCCTTTTGTTATACTAAGGGAAAAAATGACAGTATTTCCAGAATCTTTTACTTCAACAAAGTACTTTTATTTGATTTGTTCCTAAGAAAGTCTGTACATAAATAAGAAAAACGGGAATAGAAACCTCCAAACACATGTAACGGGATACATGCAGTTATTAATTTCTCTAATGAGATTCAGTTTGCGGTTACATCTTTGCTTATCCATACTTAATTTTGATTTAGTGACACTCGTCAGGTTTTTATTGCATATCGTGCAACCAGATCTACATTTATTAAAAAAAAAAGTAATTTTAGATACCCTTTCAAACTTTATCCTTCTGTTCCTTTAGGATGAAGAATTTCCATATTTTCCTCATTATCATATCTATCTGTATAAATACCTAATCATCTCATCATCTTATCTTCCCTTCTAATCATTCAATTAACTTATCTGCTCCATTCCCCTTTCTCAAACTTTCACTTTCATTTATCTGACCCCCAACCTCTTATTTGCTTTGTCTCTGTCTCTTTCTTTCTTTCTCTTCTCTCATTTTCTTTTCTGTCCTCACTCCACCTCCTTTTCCCGCCCTTTCTCTCTCTGTTCCTCTCTCTCTCTCTCTCTCTCTCTCTCTCTCATCTTTCTCTCTCATCTCTCTCTCATCTCTCTCTCTCTCTCTCTCTCTATCTCTCTCTCTCTATCTCTCTCTCTCTATCTCTCATCTCTCTCTCTCTATCTATCTATCTCTCATCTCTCTCTCTCTCTATCTATCTCTCATCTCTCTCTCTCTCTCTCTCTCTCCCCCTCTCTCTCTCCCCCCCCCTCTCTCTCTCTCTTTCACTTCACTCCCCCCCCTCTCTCTCTCTCTTCCATCCCCCCTCTCTCTCTCTCTCTTTCATCCCCCTCTCTCTCTCTCTCTCCCTCTTTCATCCCCCCTCTCTCTCTCTCTTTCATCCCCCTCCCTCCCTCCCTCCCCTTCCCACTTTCCCTCCCCCTCTCTCCCTTCCCCATCCTTCTTACCTGCATCTTGACCTTAGTGTCGTTGATAATAATCTCGATGTTGCTGAACGACGCGCCAATCGTTGACGACGTGTTCCTGCTAAACGTCTTGGTCTCGTAGCGGGTCACTAGGGAGGTCTTGCCCACACCTGTTGGAAGAAAGACGCTGAAGTGGGCGTTGAAATGGCAAGGGATATGTTTATGGGCGGCTTCGATGTCTACAGGGAAAAAGAGTACAGGAATATATGGTTGCTAAACTGTTTTTTTTATATATACCGTTTTTTCGTGATTAGATTAAACGTGCACAATATCCAGTGATTTGACATGTTTTTTTAGCAAGTATTTATGGACAGCAAACCACATATCCATTTATATTCATCCTAATTCACACCATTAAAGGTATTTGATAAAATAATTAAAATCAATAAATAATAAAAGTATCAAGCAAGAAAATGAGACGAGAGAAATCACTTTCTATAATTATGGCTTCATCGAGCAAGGGATCTCACTTTTCCTTTGGCATTCGCATCAGCTAACATTGAGTCTTTACATCCCAGAACAGTGGTGGTATTCATACAAGGTTTATATATTCTACACATATACTAACTTACACCGACGTAAT